TGATAAGAGTTGTATGGGCCCCTAATAAAATGATTAAAAAAAGATTTATTTGGTGTGTTGGGGGTGGGGGTGGTGTTTTAAAGAAACATACATATATTTACACATTCCATTTCAAGAAATCGCAACAATATCCTATTAACCCCTCCAATATATGTGGTGTTGTGTGTGTGTGTGTGTGTGTGTGTCCTTCCCCGTCTCTCCCTGTTTCCACCCCCATTCCTGCCCTCCTCGTCGCCATCAAAGGCTTGTCTGTTGGTGTATAAACCGTGTTTCTTCTTCTTTGCCTTTTCTTAGAACAATGGAGATATTCAATATTTATCTTTGTAAGACTGACTGGATTTGCTAAGCATAAGGCTCTCTCGTTTTGTCCCCGTCCTCTGGGGTTGAAGGGAGTATTTGGATTGCAGAACTTCTCAGAGCCTTAAATCTGGTGAGGTTCACCAGGCTAGTGCACGTGAGCTAGTTTCTCTTTGGGATGCACTGGATCAGAGTCTGTGGGGTTCTACGGAGTGTCTTGTGGGACCGCCTGTGGGCGCTCTCAGAAAATGTTGGCGTTGGTGTTCTCTGAGGACCCTCCTCTCTGGAGGGCTCTGCCCCAGTCCAGGGCAGAGGTCGGAAAGGGAAGGAGGTGCTGCGTGGGAAGAGAATGGGCATGGGAGCAACTCCTGGCCCTTAGTACTGTCATCTGGTGTCCCTAAGGCGCAAGGCCAGCTGAGGTTGTCCCCGAGGCTTGGCTCTCGGTGGCTGGCAGCTCGCCTGCGTGGGACGGCTCTCGGAGTTGGACAGCTGTGGCTAGGGGATGGGGAGGCCCCTCTCACTGTGGACAGACAGCCCAGGGAGAGGAGGGAGATCTACATGAATAGTACAAAGGCTTTGGAGTTGATGGGGGACAGAGGCTGACTCCCACTTTTCCCATGTACTGAGTGGCCTTGGCCAAGTCACTTAAAGGCCCAAGTTTCCTTATATATTAAGTGGGAGCAATACACTAATGATCTTTGTCACAGTAGGTGGTTGTGTGGAATGAATGATACCAACTGTGTGTAGTTGGAACACGATGCAAGCTATAAGCTATGTGTGGTTCTGAACACAAAGTACGTTGTCAACAAACAGATGTAGCTATTATGACTGTGTGGGTGCGGCCATCAGCCAGGACACCCAGCTGGGTCCCCAGGTCTCTGTAAGCAGTCTGCTCCAGGGTTCTCTGGCCTGGGCTGTCTGGTCTGACCCTTTGCATGGTGTGAAAATCGAGGGCCCCGGGAGCAGAAGCCCCTGAAGCTTTGGGGGGTAGGTTACAGTCCTGGGCCCAGGCCTCTAGCCCTCCATTACCCTTTCCTCTGCTGCCCACAGGCAAGCAGGCCAACACGGAGGAGAGGAAGGCTGCTCTCAAAACAGCCTCTGACTTCATCTCCAAGATGGGCTACCCCAAGCAGACTCAGGTGAGTCTTGGAGACCA